AATAAAAGTTTATGTAGGTACTAATATCAATCATTTTACCAATTACATAATGACATAATTTTTGGTGGATATTATAAATCGCTCTAACTGTTTGAATAATGCTTTTATCAAAATCAAATTTGTAGTAATAACATTTAAGACAAGTATCTTTATATCAACATACTATTTTTTAATATTTGATCATTAACAAAAATATTATAGAAGCATAAATATCATATCAAATTTTTTATTTTGTTTTGTTTTTTGATGTTATGTTTGATTTTATGTTCCAAAAAACCTACGTCCTTTAAACTTATATCAAATTAAAACTAATACAAGGTTTTTTAAGATATAAAACTATCCGAGTAACTGTCTATGAATTGTCAATCAATTATTACAAAAATCACATAATTTCGATGAAATTGGCTGATTTTGAAGTGTTCTGCGAAGCAATGAAAAATCTTCATTGTTCAAAACTAAAACAAATTATAGATTATTTAATGTGTTATATGATTAAAAAAGATACGTTCTTACGACTTGTCTTTTATGAGTAAGTAGTCTTAAAATTTGTTATAAAATAAGCATTGAAGCGTTGAGGGCTGAGGGAAACACGGTACCGTGTCACAATCAATACTAATTTAAAGAATTATTCAACTATTACATTACTAGATTCTACTATACTTTACTTTTTTTTTTATTTGTATTACCAAAGTCACAAAATTCTTAAAATTTAAATAACCGTTTTAAATAGATTAGGTATAGTTATAGAATGCTAATAGGCGTGTATGGTTCTGAACGATAATACTTCATTTTAATCATTTTATACAATTGAATATAAAAAAAAATGAAAATGCAAAGTTCTCTCATGAATATTTTTGTTTTATTGATTTTTACCCAAATCAATCACGATTGAAAGTTGAAGTTTAATGGTATCTTCGTTTTTGCAATTTATTTTTATTCTAAAAATAGAGTTCCACACAATTCTATTACATTTTAGATGTTATGATATTGACGTTTTGTTTTATTCCAACAGAGTTTTATTAAAAGATTTACCACCTTACTATATTTTCTTTATCATTATCAATCAATATTATATTCAAAATACACGTAAAAAAATTAGTATTATTGTACGTATAATAAATATAAAAATTGATTTTCAAGTTTCCTTTACTTGAAATTTATATGAAAAAAAGCTACATAATAATATAATTTTTTTAGTTATAATTAAGACAATCAATTGGTTATTTTCTACTTAAATTCATATAACTATTTAACCGTCATTTAAGGAGTTTTTATTTTTCTTATAGAATATTTTTTGCTCTAATAAATTATAACTTGTTCTATGTTTAAGATTATGAGCCTGTTAAAATAGTTAATCATTAATAAATAATATAAACCTCTCTTTGTAGATTATAATAAATCAATGGGTCGGAATTTGTACGAATGTCTCATTAAATGTTATTTGATAAATATTTTATGTACTTTTTTAATAAGATTTTTTTTGTGATCAGACGGTTATTATTGACATTTGTAAAAATGACGTAGATTTTACAGTAAACACAAATTTTGAAAGTATCTCATTCCCTATTTACTCATATTTTTTTAAATAGAGTATGTTAATAGAATATAATGGTCATTGCAGATAATGAAGAAATTACTCGAGGTAAAAAACCTTGAGTTTTACAGTGAAAATTTTAACCAGACACCTTTCTATGAAATATTTCAATATTGTACAGCATAATCGTCAATGTTAAGTTTATATTCTTGCAAATAACCACAAAATGTGCAAATCTGATAGAGTAATTTGAAATTATTCTTGATTTTCTCAGCACGTTATTATTCAACAAATTAATGGATTCATGGTAGACAGGCTTTTTAACATCAAAGCAGTATCAGTAGCACCCTTGCAGTCTAGCTAGAATTAATAGGGTTTAAACCCTCATTTAAAATATTTATAAGTAATTTATAAAAAAGAGTTAATTTAAACCTGATGCGAGGAAGTAATATATATATATATACATGAGAATGAAAACAAAGGAAAAATACTAATTGTTTTTTGGAAGATCAGGATTGTACTTTAGTTTTTTTCGATTACGTTACTGAGATTTTTAATAATTCATACTGTTGCCCTTTGGTCCTATAAGTAAAACAAACAAACTTTGCTCTCATTGAAATTAAAGCATTATTTTACATTGAATAGAAAGTTTGTTCGTAAGGAAACCTTACAAAAGCTATTAATGAAACGACAAAATGAAAAAGATTCAACGTTATTTGGGTAAATGTCTCATTAAGGTTACTGAAAAACCTTTTAGAAAAGTCCGTAAACGTCGATATTATTAGTCTCGATAAATAAATAACTTAATACTTTGAAAAGATTCTCGTTGAAAAACTTGTTCGGAAGTTCACCTGGCTCAACAATGCCATAGAAATGAAATAGTTTATGACATAAATTTATTATTAATGCAGGAGATGCGGTGGGTTTACAATCTTGAATAGCAAATTCCCGTAATTGATATAATGAAAAACTACAACATTCACTTTATTTAAATTTATTTTGGAGTTTTTAAATGAAGTAAGAAAATTGTGTTTAAGCTATCATTAATGTTTATTTTGCAAAACGTGGTTTTACAGTGTTTTCTTCGCACTAAAATTCTACTTTTAACCAAATATACCAGCAAAAATATATTCTTGTATATTAGTCAGACTTAATTGTATAGTATTATAGTATTAAATAGAATAGCATTAAAATAATACTATTATCGAATTAGTTGCGCTATTCATAATATGTGTATTTTTCCAATGACATTTGAAAAATATTGGAACCATATCATAGAGATATAATTTTAAACATATTTTGTTTTTAATAAATATTGAGCTGTTTATTATTCTACAAAATCTGACAATAAATTGAATTTGTTAGATCCGAATTAAATCATATTCCTAAAATAATAATTTCTGTATAAAGTATTCATAAAATATAAGAATAAACAACACTTTCTGGCACTAAATAAAAATAATTATTGCAAACACTTAGAACAAAATACAAACGTCTAACTGGGCTGTCTACAGTTATTTTCCATGTATAGACGTTGTATGTATCATAAACATAATTTTAAAAAAAATGTAAAAATCATACGATTTTATTTAAATGACAGATACGCAATTTTGAGCTGGAAAGTTAAATAACAATATTTACAAAATTGAACACACTATGGAAAACGTCATATATTGAAAAGAGACAAAGCTTTGATGTTTTCTACAAAAGTAATAATCATAATAATTTCCGCGTGAATAACTAAATATATTTTTGAAATAAAATTCTATGATTTACCTCTATCCACCATGTTTTTGTTTATCGGTTTTGAACAACACTTTAATTATCAGTTGATCTAACTCAACACTATTGGATATGAAAAAAATAATTAACAACAATAAACGTCAAACCCATTTCAAATTCGACAAGTTCTAAAATGTTCTATGAAAAACAAAGAAAATGGCAATGTTACTATGAATAACTCAATCTTACATTCAACAGCTTTCCCTGAATTATTATTAAACAGAAATTTTTTTTTACTAATTGTAATCAATTGTAACTTTTTTTTATGTGCTACCAACAGATGTAATATATTATAATTTAAATTGCTTAACTTTCAATATCCAATCACATGAAATTTGATTTTATCGACATACTCCTTTTCCGGTATATGATTCAATACAGTTTTATCTGTAGTTTGTTAAATAAACTGTAATATTTCAACAACCTTCCTTGTGCACTCATATTGTATGTAATGAATGTAATAATAAAATACTGTTATATCAAAATATTACTATCACTATTTATTTATTATTTTGATTATTACTATTACTATTAAAAAATATTAATTTGACAATAATTATTTTTTAAGCTTCTTTAATAATAAATTTTACTTCTTTTAAAGTGTCATTCGTAGTACATTAAATTTCATTTAATTCGAAATGTAAATAAATTATACTTATTTACTTTAAATAATCGCATTCTAAAAAATGAAGGTCGAAAGTTAAGAGAACTTGTTAATCGATTTTAGTACTTATTTACTGTGGTATATTTTTGGTATTACATTTCAATAAAGCGGTATTTTACTTATTTTATTACTTTATATTTATTGGTATATTAGCCTTATTGAACAATAAATAAATAAACATTGCAAGTCTATGAATATTATGATACAAGTAATATTTAGCAACTGATACAGTACTTCTAGAAACATCAAATAGACGTCTTTTTTCATCACTTCGAAGAGAAAAAGTATAAACGCGTCGTAAAATTGATTGCATAGTTTTCGATCAAAAATATTGTACAAAGATAAGATTGCTATATATGATACATTAGTTCACTTTGTATATTTCTATTTATTGAATAAACCAAAGATTAAAGAAACGTTTAAAATATTATCGAAATTTTAACCTCTTTCTACGACACGTTATTAAAAGGATTTTTTTCTACAGAACGCAATTATCTGAGCGTGTCCTTTAATAAAAATAACATTGAACAAAAATAGTTTTTTATTAAAAAAACTAAAATATCGAAACTATTGAGCTAAAGAGAATATTTTTATTCAATTGACATTTTACTTTATTCGTCTTTTGTTCCAAATAGGACAAGTGTTTCAATAAAAATGATTGTTTTTTAGTTTGCATTATTGAGGAAACAATATGAAATGTGAAATATATAATACTTTTGTAGTCGAAAGTAATAAATTTAAAATATGTACGTATTTTTAAGTTTTTCAAAAATAGTTTTTAAATAAATATGCATGCAAAATAATAACGTAGAATCTTGTAAATTAATACACAACAGGTTATCTTTCTTTATATTTTTAAGAAAAAAAGACAAATTGTTGTTAAAAATGTCGTACATAAGATTTAGAGAACCTGTAATTGACATGGCTAAAAATAAAGTCACTTGTTCAATTTTTTCAAGTTATTAACAGTAAATTGGTGAATTCACCTAAGATTAGTCAAGTTAATAAATAATATTTTACCTCCTCCGTTTTTTGCACGCCCGATTTTTGATAGGTGAGCGACGTCACTTCTTGTGGGATATGTTGTTGTTCTATAAAATCAACAGAAAAGTGCTTCTCCAAGTAGGCGGTGTAATGCTGTTGTTGTTGGTTTGTGCTAATTTTCTTAAAGCGTGCAAAAGTTAATGATTGTAAGTAAAGGATGAGTGTACGAGTTGAATCAGTGTAAATATTTATATTGTAATTCAATCTAGTGCAATACGTCAAAGATTGTGGAACAGTCTTATTGTATTATTTATTACGGTCGTGCAGTGTAATGAATTTGTGCGTGGTGGTGCGTTTGTGAGTGCTGGTGCAATAGCGGCGGCAACGCGTGCCGCTGCCGGGAGGGAAAAGGGGAATCGTCGAGGTAACGGCGAACGCAGTTGACGTGCCGAGATATCAGTGTCGTTTGGCGTACTGAACGTTCGGCGGTTATAACGCGGCGGATCGCCGTAAGTTGAGCGCCGCTGCCGACGGCGATGGCCGTCCGCCGCAATCAGCGGTACACGCAGAGAGATCAGCGCGGCCGGACGGCTGCCGACAAAGTGTAGTTGGTGGAAAAAGGCACTCAAAGGGAGGGTCAGAGAACAAATAGGGGAAGGAAAGGACAACAGGTGCCTTCTAGTGTTTATGTATACGGTTCCACAGGGTTATAACAGCGGCTGTTAAAGCAGGCGGCCCACACATACACTAAAACGAGATCGGAAACGAACGCGCAAGAACTATGTACTTCCGACCACCCCCCTCAACCGTACCACAGAAAGAACAACCACCCTCTACATTCACTTTACGACAGAGCAAACTATTGAGGTTTCGTGAGTTCCGTCATTACAGCTGCCACTAAATAATATTATTATGTACAGAGTATTTGTGTAATGATAATGGATTTTAATTCATGTTTGATAATGTACATTTCAAGTTCCGAAATTATGATTGAACGGATAAGGAGATTTGATTTCCGCACCGTGTGTTACAGACGTTTTCTTACAGCGAGTCTTGGAAACACATTCTTTACTTCACATGTGACGTTGATGTGTGAACTTAGAAATTGTTACAAATTTCGTTAGATCAAGCGGATGGAAATAAAAATCCACTCCAAGGCGATAACACGTCAATAATAGAATGCACACATTTTTTTAGTATACCATTTTCCAAATCATTTGATATCATTAGTTGATGAATTAAATAGCCAATAATTTTTATGATAAATTATTCTCAAATGAAATCAATATTTTTGCTTATTTTTTTTTCCACTCAACATGACTAGTAACTATAATATAATAGATCTGTCTGAAATACATAAGAGTTACTACAAGAGTATTTATTAAGGGTAAAAATGTGGATTATTACCCAACTCCAAAAATATTTTCCGGATACAATCATAGACTGGCCTAGATGGGATACATTCAAATTAACATTGTTTTTAAATTATTATATATAATATTTCAAATAATCGGAGCATAAAACTTTATTTTGTGACTAAAATTATCACCTCGTAACTGATTAGATATATATTGTTGTATAAAAACTGTTTTTATATAATTGTTTAAAATTTAAAAACCATCAACTTTATAAAAGCTTGACTTAAGTGAATAATGCTAATTAATTTGGATGTAAAACACAGTGGCGCTGATACTAAAGTTTCATAAGGACCTCTAAAAAAGTTGTTTGGTTGGTGTTTATCATATAAATCAACCATTTTAAGTANTTAAGTGAATAATGCTAATTAATTTGGATGTAAAACACAGTGGCGCTGATACTAAAGTTTCATAAGGACCTCTAAAAAAGTTGGTTGGTTGGTGTTTATCATATAAATCAACCATTTTAAGTAAAAAAAAATATTAATGATTGTACACTAAAATTTCTAAAGACTTAATAATCTATTTAAGCTTAAAAATATAATTGCTAAAACGTTATACCTATTCAATAGAAATTGTCTTAAAAGTAACCAAAGATTGTTTAGACATAAACTACGAAGTTTACATAGTAATTAATAGTTCATTCAATTTTTGTTTCTAAATTATTTTTTTAATAATGTTGTGTCCAAAAATGCTAATTATTTGTATAAACTGTAATAAAAAAAGGTAAACTAAACTTTATAGAAATATATTAAATCCAACCCAACTATTAATATTTTGTTACGCATTTTTATTTATTAGAGATCTAAACATTTTTTGTATACCTTTAAAAAATATTTCTTAAATGACAAAAAAATTCTTCCAACAATAGATAATATAGTTTGGTAAGGAATTTATAACACTATCAATTTTTTTCAACTATTAGAAGTGAAATGCAAAAATAAGTTTCATACAATTCTTGATGAGTAGATAACAATTTTAGAATTTAAAAAATGTTTGCCCTAACTACAATTTTTGAATGTGTCACCACTAGTAAAACATAAAATTAAAATAAATTAAATAACTTAAAAACGAATAAAGAGCGTGGGACGAATTCTTTTTGACAAAGCTTTGTCATACTACAAAAAAAATATCTGTACTGGATTTAATAAATTATTTTGAATAATACAAATATAATCAGCCAGATATTCTGTTAAAGCAAACATAACGATCGCGAACAATTCATAAAAAAAAAATTCAGTTAGTTCAACATGCATATGTAGAAATAAAAATATTCAGAATGTTTATTATTTATATTGAAAAACAAAAAATCAATCGTGAAGAAAAAATTAATTAGTTTATAAGTTCATAATTCAATTATCCCATCTCTCGCCAACACGGTTGACACAATAAATTTATTTTAAAAGTTTCTTATATATAATTTTCTATTTTCATTTCTTTTATTTTTGAAAAACTTATGAATCTATCACAATAAACACAAAACCTCATTAACATTGGTGTATTTATGGTCATTGAAAAGTTAAGCAAAGGCAGTGTGCCAAGCCAAGTTCTAGCAATGATAGTGTATCTTTATACAAGACAATTCGCCAGGTTTTTCTATCCCTCGTATATCTATTTCCTCTTAAGATAAACATTTGAAAATTAAAACATAGATTACTCTTATAACTCAGAAAGCAATAAATAAATCAGCCATTAATCTACACATCACCGTACAAATTTTTATTTTATTAATTGAAAACTTAATAATTTGTTGATACTAACATAATATATTTTTTTAATTTATAAATGCTTATAATTCCTAGCCTTAGTATGCAACTTAACATATTACATTGTGTAATTTATAATTTAATTTAATTAATAAGACATAGTAATTTACCCAATTCTCGGAATTTTCAAATACACATAAAGCACCAAAAATACAACTATAAATTACATTATTGACAGTAGTGATGACACTTTGGCAGTGTGTTATTAACAATGTCATAACTAGTACGACAAATAACATTTAAGTTAATAAAGAAAAGTGTATAAACAATATTTTAGATTATAATTTTTAATGCCTTATTATTAGAAGAATTTCTATAGAATTAAATTTAATCAGTATTCAAACAACACAGATGTGGCTTTAGTTTAGAAAACGCAAGGGAACTTATTTCCCTACCTCTTAATATTACAATTTTTGACAAGAAAAGCCTATATTTTATTTTCTACTATTTTAAATAATTGTATGAGACATGATAATTGTGTTTATTTAGAGTATTTTCATAATTAATATGATATGATCCTATATAAACATGTAAATGACTAATTATCAGTGGTGAGAACATTTTTTTTGTTTTATCATCTTATGTTCTTATTTAAGTGACTTTCGAAATGATGAAATAATGATTTCATAATTTTGTTATGATTCGTAATTTTATATTTTCGTGTATTAAATTAGTGCACATCGAAAAATTGTTTTCATCCATCAAGACACAAAATTTCTATAATATTATACTCGTATATTTCTTTAATATTTTTATAACAAACTAAAGAGATGAAATGAGATCTAACCATCATTATATAATAACTATAAAGTTATTAACTTTATGTAAGTACTTACACAATATGGGTTAATATATATAACTAAAAAAAAATATTTCCGAAATTATTTTTATTTTGTAAGTGAATGGTTAGGTTATAACAACGGATTGCCTAATTGCCAAAGTAAACATTTTAGAGATGACATTTTAAAATTAATATAAATCAATCATACTCGTATCTGGCGCATCACGAAAACTTACTTTATAGTAGATATTAAACAATAATTTCAAGATAACTGAATTATAGCATAGAATATCAAGATGTTTTAGCTATTAACTTTTAAGAAAAAAGTTTTCATTAGTTATAGCTAACATATTGGGAAAATATATTTTAATAAAAATCTGTTTACTATAAATAGAATGCAATAAAAGAAAATATTACCAATGAAGTATTAATAATCTCCTAAATATAGTTATTCTTTATGATAGATTATTCAAATAAATTAAATTTTTTTCTTATGAAATTTGTAATTTTCTCCGACGTTAGTTAACAGTTAACAATAATAATTATTTCATAAGTTTCTTTAATAAGTTGAATATAAAAAGTATAAGGTTAAATGATAAATTTAACAACTAAATTGAACTAAAAATGAATAAATTCTTTTAAAATTATTGTTTTCAGCTCAAAAATCAAGAAAATTAATAATATAGGGGAAACGTAAGTATACGAGAGTTTGTCAATAATAAAATGATTAAAAACATAATTTTTTGCACATTAATTATGGTTGACAGATTGCCAAGTGTAATATTACGAATCCCTTATTAATCGAATTCAATGAAAATACAAAAGTCTTTTAGTGAAATTCGATTTAAATGTACCCAAGTGACAACAAATAGCTCTAGTATGATTAGTTTTTAAGCAATACAAACGCTGACAGAATATATTATTAGTATGTATACTTTTCACCTATCTTTTAAAATTTTGCAATGAAAAATTAATAATATTATTGTATAAATAATAATAATTTTTTGAAAATGCTGTCTTATGAAATATTTTCAATGTACGATGTTATCGGTATAGTATTTGTATTTCCATTTAAACATAATAGATATTTTTGGTTTGAACAACCATAGTTAAAATACCATAGTAGTAGGAAAAATATATTTTTTTAACTTTAGCCACTCGATTTCTATTAAAATAAAATAATTATGTCAAGAAAAATATTTTTTTTTCATCTAGTTCCATATATTTCTCTATTTTTATTTTCAGTTATTTTTACTTTTTTAATAGTTAACAAATTAATGAACAATTAAAATTTTTTTCTACTTTTTATACTTGAAAAGTTTTTAATGATATCGTCATAATTTATGTTGGATGTTAAATCACCTACAATTAACAAAAATGCCAAACTATAAAGACGATCTTTAGACGATCAAGATCTTAGATATTTTTTTTTTGGTAGAAAATGATCTCTCCGTTGAAAAATTGCTTAAAGGTGTACGTAACAACATTCTCAAAGCTATGTCCAAATAAGGGTAAANTAAAGACGATCTTTAGACGATCAAGATCTTAGATATTTTTTTTTTGGTAGAAAATGATCTCTCCGTTGAAAAATTGCTTAAAGATGTACGTAACAACATTCTCAAAGCTATGTCCAAATAAGGGTAAAGCTTTGTAAGTTTTTCTGTTTTATAAATATACAAAACTCTTGAATTTTCTTCGGTATACCATCAGAAATCTTTTTAAATGTCTACTAAAATGCAAACATTCATTTACAAATGAAGGTTCTAAAAACTATGTATTATCAATGCTAATACTAACTATAGTTTATGTTGTTATACAGCTTTAATATATCTTATTTTACATTTATATTTTTGTATACGCTTTAAATTGAAAAATAATTAATTAGTATTTTTGTTAGAAATAGATTATTATGTTTCATAAAAATAAATTGATCTGTTAGAAAAAATTTCAAATGAAATAAAATTAATTAATTTAAAAAAAAATCACATATTTGTTAAGATTTTTGTTGCCCTTCTCAATTTACCGTCCGGGGCAAGTGCCCCCAATGCCGCCCCCTAAATGAGGGCCTTATTGTAATGACAAACTCTTATAAGGTATTTTAAAATAAACAAAAAAAAAACCAGAGAGAAATATGGAACCAATTACATTATTTGTTTTAAAAAATCTAGTTTTATTTTGAATCTCGGAATATTTTTATTACCTCATATTGCACGAACGGTGATTGTGAAATCGACAAAGTTAAATTACAAAAATAAATACAAGCAAGGTAATAGAATTATTTTTAAATTTAATTCAATAAAAACATATTTTGTAAATAAAATCACAAAAAAAAAAAAAATGTATATATTTTTTTAAAAAACCAAATACTGATGGGTCGCGACAAGGTGGTGACGTGGCATATATGGGCCATGTCTAATGATATCTAACAATGATTAAAATCACTATCTTAAAGAACGCTTCAAAACAAATCTTTAAATAGTGTTTAATTTAAAAAAAATGTTGGATTATTCCAAAAGTTACATGATCTGCTATTTCCTTATTTATATCCTGATTAAGATAAAGTATGTCGAATGAAAGAGAGATTTAAATATTATTTCTCATAAAAAAATTGTATTGATCCATACTGTTCAATAATTTATAGCATTATAAAGTTAAAAATATAAAGTCAAGAATTTTCACACAAAAATAGTATTCAGTAACTATTTTCACCATGAAGACAAAATAAAGTCCGAATTTTTTATTTTTTCCATAATAAAGTATATTACTTTATCTTTAATTTAAGATATTTAAAAGTGTCAGACTTTCCGGAACACTTTCAAAAGTTAAGTTGAAAAAGTAAATTTTTTTTGAAAAAGTTGTCATTTTGAATCCCCTCCTGTGGGCAGGTAAAGGGTCAGATTTATAAAAAAATGTACCAAATAAAATATAAAGATATCATACATCTATAAAAAAAAAATATATTGATTTGGTCATTTTTAAAAAAGTTATAGCAGTTTAAATTAAAAAAATTGAAAAATTTTTGAAAATTTGCGATTTTTAAATTTTTGTCATTTTTTGGAGATTTCCCCCATTTACGGGGAACGAGGGAAATTTTTTCAATTTTTAAGGGTAATGTCTTCGACTAGATACGATTTGTGATCTTTTGACGTATCGTTGAAAGAAATCGGTTTGATGAGAACTGAGGAAAAGTGGTAACAGACACAAAAAAAAACACATCATAGTAAATCAATACCTTCTCAGCTTCGCATCGAAGCTAAAATAAAAAAAAAAAGTGAAATAAGAATTTTCTAATAAAATTAAAAATTAAAATAAACAAAAATAAGCAGTTTTTTAAAAATAGTCAAAAAAAAATTATTTGAAATTTGAAATTTGAAATCATTGTAACACGACCTAAACATTTATAGCATTATGCGACATCATATTTCAAACAATAAAAATATTCAAATACTATAAGTCTCATGCCCAATGAACCAAATAGACGGATACAATTATTTTGTGATAATTAGTATTTTTTCTCTCCGTGTAAGCGCAAAATCAGTGGATCGTGTTGAATAAAATAATAACTTGTTGATGTTTGTTCACTTTTTGTGTACTCGATTGTGCTGTGAAAATTGATTTGGATTTAATGCTGACAAATAAGTGTACATTAGGTGAATATCAATAAAATGAATACATTTGTCATATTTAGCATACTTAAAAAACTGTAAATTTGTACTTCATATAGTACCATAACATTCAATATTTTTAAATATTTTATGACTTTATAGTTACAAAGATTTAATCTTTAATAAGTACATGATTTTTCAACACATTAATACTGTACGTATTAGTTAATTTCTGGAGTAAGAAGTTTTGCACAATTTCTACGCTTTCCTTTTAGAAGTTTTAGTAGAACTAATGTCACTATAAGTTATACAGTAAAACCAGAATTAATATTTTTAAAAAATAATTTTTTTGTTGTCAAGAACTGTTTGGTACTTAAGCCGAGTTCTTAATACTCCTTTATTTGTCAATGTTTGTCAAGTAGTGGGAAAGGTGTTTTTGTGTGAACATTCAGTAATCGCTTTTTGTCTCTTTTCCGTGGCGTATTTTTGACACGAATCAGAGGATCAATGTTTTTTAATGAACATACGAGTAACCATATCAGGAATATTCATATATTTACACAAGTAGACGGATAATCGTTATTCGTTTTACATTCGACGAATAGACGAGTTATGGGAATTTAGCTTTATGATTTAAATTCTTCTTCTTTTTTTATCTCGCCTTTATCCCAACTACTTGGGATAAATTTTCACTAGACGTAATATTTATACTCTAAAGGACCACTTCTAAATAGTAGGTATAAATAAATTAAACCCAGCCAAAAATATTATTTTATAGATAAATTATACAGTGACTAAAAATTGTAAAAACACTTTTATAATTTATTTTTGTTCAAAAATATCTACGTCGTATTGATATTTATGTAATAAATAATCATTCCAACTATTCAATGCCTAGTTAAAATAAAGATCAATTAATTAACTAAAAAATCCATATAATATATTATCATATATATCTTAAAATTATATTTTGAACAATTTAATTATTTAAATAGGAAATTTCAGTATCAATTAATTACCTTTCTTACTTTTCTCTCTTTTGAAACTGAAGGACTTATTTAAAATTCATTTTTATGTAAAAATGTATTGAGAATTAAATAAAAAATTAATAAAGTTATAAACAATAAAAAATTACAGAATAGTCTAAAAACTTAAAAAAGTTAAATTTTTGTTATAGGAATAGTTTATAAAACTATCCTAGTATTGGAACATCTTATTAATCACCATCATACCACAAAACTGTTCAGAAGTCCCATTTTCTTATATGGCATTTCACTGCATAGTTGCTTGGTTTTCTAAACAAGGAAAGATTAATGGTCTTAGAGACAAACAATTTTAGAATTTTGAACATCAAATTTATTAAATTGATATAAAAAGTTTAATTGGTAAAAATAATTTATTGAAAAAATATATCTAATAAAAATAAGTGGAACATGAACTTTTATTATATAACTTTTTTTTAATTATGGACTACGTTTAAAAGATAAAATAATATTTTTTTATTTGTACTAACTTAAATACGTTAGTAAGCTATAACATCTCATATTCTGTAATAAAAATAACTATCCTTGGCATATTCTAGAAAAAAAAAAACGGAGAAGAGACAGTTAAAAATTTTAATTAAAGATGAAAACAAAAATTTGTTTTGTTTTACCCCTCTACGTGAAATAATTAGCGATTTCTTAATATAATAATGTTAAGAGTAAAAAAAATATTGAGGGGATTGACCCAGAGACTACCGCTAAAAACACCATTAATTATTATTAATATTATTATTATATGATAACAGTAGTTCAAATTCAAAGGAACACCAAGTAGAAAATACAAAGGAGTACTAGAATTTTGCACTATCAAAACGCATAATTAAAAAAAAAATGTTAATTGAAAAAATTTCATATGATTCACTAAATTATTTACACTTTTAAATCGTTGTTAAATTATTTAAAATCAATAAAATATAATCAAAATAATATAAAACAAATTTAGAAGCCCATTTAACTTCTATCGACAAAATTTAACTTTCATAATTTTAATAATTAATAATATTCAGTTTTTTTTTTTTTTATAGAATATGGGCTTTTCATCATGCGATATTAATTTCGTTAATTAAGTACGACATACGTGATTAACTAAAATAATTGTGTTAACAGTACTATAAAATATTTTAAAATAAAATTTTTCATGCTAATTAAGGTTATAAAGGAATTAGAATTTCTATACTGATTAATAAAAATTAATAACTTACTCCCTCCCAATAAAAACCTAGGAATTCAATAAAATACACATAAAGTAAA